CGAAAAAGTCTGGATGGCTGCCGGAGAAGTCTAGTTGAGTCAACTAGTTGGAGTCATAGTCTAGGAGTGCAATTGTCCAAGTTTGGTAAGAAAACCCTATAATTGCCTTTTACCTTTAAAAACCTTCAATTGGTCGCCCTTTTTTTTTTTAAGGAAATACAAAAGGCAATGCCATTCTTACCTTTGTTGCCATCGTACCCCATGGCCTGTGTTTTGGACAGCGAGAGGCGACAAGGGCCTGCCTCGCCACACGGCGAGGCGAGCGGCGAGGCGCTTGCCTTTTTGAATTAAGCCGCCAATGAATACCAAAAATTAAAAATATTTAATTGCATATTTTAATCCAAAATCTTAATAGTAATAACAAATATTAGCAAATATTCAATTCAAAAACCAATAGTAGATACTAAAAAGGAGTCGCGCAACAGCAAATTTTGAAAATAGAAAAAAAAACCCTAATTTTGACTAATATCGTTAAGTGAAATCTTTGTAAAAAAATTAAATCAAAAAGGCGACGCCATGGGTCGCCTTTTGTATGTCGCCTCGCCTCATTGTGGAATGGCGAGAAGGGCTCGTCTCGCCTCGCCTCTCGCCTTTGGCGATGAGGCGCTCGCCATTCACAACACTGCCCATGGCATCACCTTTTGGAGATCGCCTCACCACAAAGCTAATAGGCGATGAAGGGTCGTCTCGCCTCGCCTCGTCTCAGCTCGCCTCTCGTCATTGGTGACGCGGCGATCACCTTTCACAACACTGGTTACTATATATGTGTATTACCTTGTAAAAAGAATAGTTACTATATTTCATATTTTTTAATAGTTAAGACGTTTGAAACTTCATAGTAAAAGGAAAACGGTCGGGTTGACTCTCCAAATTGTAATGGTCCATTCCTTTGGGTCAAAAGGGGTAGTTAAATTGGTGATATGGAAAATTGTATCTTGGCTAAAGAGTTTCTTGTATATGTGAGGGAGATTTTGGATAAATTTGATTGTATGATTAATTAGAAAAAATAATCACGGTCTCAAAGTTAGTTTTCTAGATTATGTCAGCTTATATGATTTTGATTAGAGAAGGGTATTTATAGGACTCACTCAATTTGACTTGCTCGGACTCTTCATTTTTGGTGCCGCACTCTTCTCGAAACGACATGGGTGTGGGATCCATGTCCGATTTGGTGTGCCGATTTTGGGTACTTTGGCCAAAATCGATTAGGAAAGTTTGGATAGTTTTAATGATTGTTGTAATCAATACAAAAGCTAAAGTGAAATGGAAGAAAATGGAATACCTTTTATATATAGATATTTCTTTGTCACTCCTTTTCCTTAATCTCCTTCCAGGATTCTCCTCAAGTTCTCTACATAATATCTTATAATTTACATTTTATAACTCCATTTTTAGATAATTAAAATATTTTTAGGCGAATCCCCGCACCCGCACCCATACATGGATCCATATCCCCGAATCTTAGAAATTACATCACGAAGAATCCAACCTCAAGATATGCACCCGTATCGGACACCTGCACCCTGAGTCCGAGCAACTTACGTAAAATGTGAAGTAAAATGACAAGGGTTTCACATATATATGTGTGTGTGTGTAATACATGTATGCTGCTTACAAGTAACTCTAGAACTTCTGTACTGCAATCACTTCATTCTTCGAGAAGTAATCGAAACTAATTTGATGTCTAACTTAGCTGTCATGAATTCTTCACATTTTTGTGTATTACTAGTAGTTCCTTCTCTATTTGACATGATTGTTAACGATATATATTTACTTAACTGTTGTGAATCATGCGGTCTGATGTACGTTTCATTTGCGGTGATCTATTCATAGAATCTCTTGTATGAGATAATTGCAACTCTTCGGAATGTTACTGCTGATACAGCAAGCTCTTCATCTGTGCCACCTAGCATTTCAACAGCTAAGTCTGCTGGCGAACTCCTTGCCGACATTGCCCCAATTGCTAGTTTGAATGTAAGAATTCTCTTTAACTCTCAAGTTCCCATGTTCTTCCACCCCTATCTCTTCCCCGATGAGTTTTTCTCAATGGCAGTGATGTTAAGTTGCGTCACTATAAGTTGATTGATTTGTTACTTATTGTAGGATCCATTTATTAATGGAGGAGAAGAACTTAATGGTCATGCTACTCCACAAACAGAGGTATGCAAACTTCTGTTTCAGTGCAGTTTACTCTTAAATGTGTTGACTCATCGATTAAAGCATTACTGGGAGTGGGTGCCCACACCATTTGAACTGTGGTACACTGGTTAAGGATTAAAACATTTGCATTCAAGTCAAGGGTTGTTGCAACTAATACGCTTTTATTTCTTTGACTTTCTCCATATCTGTTGCAACTCCTTTTCCTCTTTTCTTCCTTTTTAACAAATATGTTATTTCCTTTTGGAGAAAAAAGTTCTTTATTCTCTCATGTATCTCGTTTATGTCCAAGCCCCATGTCTAGTGGCTTTCAAATCCTTGCTCGGCCATCCTCAGAATCGTAGGTCCATTGTCTGATGTTCGGTGTCTTTAATCCTGCGTTTTATGTTTTTCAGTTGTCCAGCTGGTTTGTTATTTGGGATGAAGGATTAGATAAGGGATTGTTATCCCGAGATCTTTATTTGAGTTACCAGTCTAGATATCAAAATATATTATGATAAAACATTGCTGACACTTCGAATAGGGACCTTTGTTTTAAGAAGGATGGAGTGTCAGATTGATCGCAGTTTAAGTCTTTAGAAATACAATACTCTTCTTTGGTGCTGGTTTTGGTTGTTATTTCGCTATTACCAAAATTTTAGATATTCTGATTCTCAGGACAAGCAAAGTGGTGAAAATGAGGACTGTTACTCTTGCACAAGCTCAAACCGAGAGAGTTGGGGAAGGTGCTCATCTCTGGGAAGTGATGATGAGATTACCACAGATTTTGTAGATGCCGACAGTGGCAATCAGGTATTGTGCTTCTGCTCCCACTCTGATAATCAGATTTGAATTCCCATTGCCATACTTGTAGATAGCAGTTTTTTTGTCACCCCTCAATTTCATATAAAATGCAAGTTTGTACCCTGTATACAACTCACAGTTACATTCATATAGTAATTCATGCATTATTCAATTCTAAACACTCAAACCTTAAAAGTGTTTTCATCCTTTAATAAGATTCAATGCTCAATAGGCGCTTCTCATATTCATTATCTGGCCATGATCCGGACTTTGTCCGCAAGAATATCTCAGCCAAATCAATCAGAATTGTGTTAGTGCTAATGCAAGAGCGAGGACAATCACCTTTCCCACATTAATAAAGCAGATTTATTTCATATTTATGTTTCCATCATTTCTTGACATCAAAGTAATTTCATGTACACGTTCATTTGAGCTATATAAACCCTTCCTCAGCTCTAAACAAGGTTAGAGTGGATTGACCAAAATGAATGAATTCATTTCTCGGGTCTTTTCTTTGAAGCAGCTTTATAAAATTGCCTGTCTACATATATGTGTGCCTTAGATACTCTTCAAGGTTATATTTCCTTCTATCCTAATCTTATGGACCATATTGCTAATCGTGTTAAGTCCTAACTAATTATATTTGAAATGGAAGAGAAAACAAGTTTGTGGTATTTTCTTTTTAATCTCTAGTCCTTAAATATTATTTATTCATGCCAAATATTAAATTTTAAAAATAAAAATAAAAATTCATGCTCAATATCACTCTGAAAGCTGATCAAATTAACCCTCTAAATAAGCCTTTACACTTTGGGATTGAATATGATATCAGCTGAATGAAAAAAATAGTTCCAACTTGTTTCATGATATAAAGTTCAAGGGCTCCTGACTTGAGTCTATTTCAACCAGTAGTAGACTTTTTGCTTTACTCTTATGTACACTTCATGATAAACAGTTGTAAATTTCTGTTTGAGTTGCAGAGTACTGTAGATGTGCTTGTGACCCCTCTTCGCGATAACCAACATACTGCACTGGACTCATCAAAGGACGATGGAAAAAAGAAAGCTGCAAAAATCACAAAAAAATCCAAGCGCGAGAAGTTTGAAAAGTTGGAAGCTCTTAGCCAGCGATTACGGCTTTGTTTTCAGAAGAGAATTAACCATAGGAGATACAGCTCCTCCTAACCATCTGTTGCTATTCACAAGCACTGTTCCATAAATGGAGAAGTTGACAACTTTTTCTTTAGTGGCTCTTATGTGTATGCCTAGCAATAGTGTAGGTTTATGTAACTAATTATAACTCCCCTTATAATGTTAAATTTGTTGAAATTGGTTCAAGAAAATTATATGACAGTAAACTTTCATGTTTACCCTTTCTTTCAAATGTTTGGGTTTTAGTTTGATTATGCATCAAGTTTAATTATATGGTCCACTTTGATTGGAGGAGAAAATTCTTCAACAGAAAGATGGGTTCTTTAGGTCTCATTCAACCAAGTGATGCAGCTCAGACTGCTGGGTAGTTAATGTTAAAACATGCAGAAGCTTCTCACTTGATGTCACAAGCACTTGGTTCTCTTCACAATAATTTTGTACAAAATGCAAGAACTAAATATTGTCTTGACATTTATGTCTGTCTGTCAGGCAAATGCATTTGACTCTTCATACAAACATTTTGTACAACCAAAATGTCAAGTACGTGTTTGGACATAACATAGATTTAGTCAAACTTGAGAACAAAAGTTTAAGTTGTGCTTGAACATATATTACTCTTGAAACAAATCAAGGTTTTGTAAGTGGAAGAGTTCACTTGAAGAAGTGATCAAAACAAACTTTCAAAGTTGAAAAACTCATCCTGAAATCTAATCAAAAAAATCATTCCAATGTTGAACCAAACAATGATTTGAAAATATCTTTTGAAAAAAATAGAAAAAAGTCAATACCAAACGGTACTTATTGTTGCTTTCATTTGGAATACTGATGTACTCCCTAACATGCAGCCCAGCTCAAAGCAGTCAAACTTATAAATGAAAGTTAGGACAGCAGAGTAAATTGAGAAAGATATAAAAGCAAATGGAATCTCAATTTTCTTCTCTTTTTTTCTTTTTCAAGGAACTAAGATGATTTCACAGAGATGCAGTTAAGAGTTAGAATAACATCAGCTTGCATTTACACAGTTTTAAGTTGGGCTCATTGGACTTCCCAGAAACTGCAATGTGCAAAGCAATGACTATGGACGGACTTGGCTTAATCTCTTAATTAGAGACATTTTGAACATTAGAGCCAGAAATACCAAAGCAATTAACTGGTAGCACGTGAACACCGGATGATCTCATATCTGCTTCACCCCAAACATATGATGCTTGTGTTGAATCACCACTAAGCCCTCGCTTTTTCCCTCCAGGTGAAGATCCTTCTACAGGAAGTCCAGCGGGGCTCTCATGCGAAGTTAAGCAGCTTTCAGTGGAACAATCCGTGCGTTGTGGATGGATTCTGGGGGAAACGTCTTCTGGACCATGGACTCCAACAAAGTCAGCAGACTCCGAGGGGCACAATCCATGTGGATTACATAAAGGGCTAAGTTGTGTCTTCGTATTTAGTCCTTGGTAAGTCTCTTGGTGATTTTCAGTAACTACATCACCGATGAATTGATCAGCGAGCATTTTACAGGCCTTCTCCAGCATGGTAATATATCTTTGTTCAGCATCCTGCCGAATTTGCAAGTGCTTCTCAGCCTGTATAACAAATAATATAATGAATTATCAGCCATGATTTAGAACATGTTCATCTGGACATCTTTGTTTGAAAGGATCAACTCCATGTATTAATTTTGAGAAACATTCAAATGCAATTTACTCATCCGATGTAGTGCAGAAAGCTTACTTCAACTTGGAGGTGCAATTTACTTTGCACTTCCATTTGAGCTCTCAATGCCTCCTTGACTTCAAAACCTCTGAAGACATTTTACAATCTTTAAACTAAAAGACGCATTTCAAGCAAATTATATAATTATTGGGGTAAAGTAAAAATAAATAGTAGCCGTCTTAGTTATAGGATGAACCCTTACTCATTCAAGTCTGATGCAGGCAACTGCTGAGGAGTACCACCAGAACAAGGGCTTTCTAATGAATACGTAGCTGTAAGTCCTTCAATGCAGAACAAGAACCCAGTTTCAATAAAAAAGAAAAATTCAAAAAAGATGTCTTCCTATAGCCTTTCCTGCACTGATCTGATCTCACACATAAACAAAATCAGTGTCTTCTTGGTTATTCTGTAAGCTTCACACATCACTGCCCAAGTTTATGATATTCTTCCTGCATTTTTCCATTTTTCATCTTTTGGGCTTATTTTAAAGAAGAAATGAGGGGGTAAACAGAGTTGCTGGAGTCTACATTCCAAATCAGTACACAATGTTCCTTAATTATTCCTTTCAAGTAAAAAAAAAAGAAAAGAAGAAGAAGAAAGACTAAAGGTATAACCATAAATAACAGAAGAGCAAGCTGTTTGCATCAACCCTGAGGCATCGAAAGATATATATCTCAGCCAGACAGCCACTACGCCAGTTTTGAAGCTTAATTAACAATATATGCTAAGAGACTTATTTTTCTTTTTCTTTTTGAAATGGTGAAGGTTATATGCCAACTGCCAAGAGACTTGTGAAACTACAGGAGCAACCACGTTTCCAGTTATAGGAAAACATGGGTCAACTATACCTACCATCTTTTGAAGCTTCATCAAGATCTTTCTGAGATTGCTTACCTAGTCGGTATTTCTGCAGTGAACAAACAACATCATAGTTAAAAATTGATCAAAAAACATTTGATTTTAAGCTCATTAGAAAACATACATGTTTTGCTCCACCGCCCACCTCCTCCTCTTTACATCTGGGACTTAAGTGAAGGATGTGCGGTGGGCTTGTGAGACAAATAAGAAAAAAATCTAATGTATTCTGACAGACCTGAAGGTGGCTCTTTAGGTGGAAGAGAGTCAGTCCCTTGACTCCCATTGTCCGCATTATTGCCTTTGGAGTAGCTTCTGCAAGTGATATTGAAAGCATATCCATGAGAAAAGCAGGTGTTCCAGCCAAACTAAAGACTTTAATGCAGATATCAACTATGCAACCATTATATTAACACCGACAAGTAATACAAATCCCCCCCCCCCCCAAACACCGACACGTAATACAAATAATCCAGCAAGATATCTTGCATTTACTTCAACAAAAAAAGAGAGGAACCTTGTATTCAAGTAAACATTGCTATTGATTTGATGATCCCTATATGATGTGGCTAACAAGAATTAATTATAGGGGACCTTTTTTAAAGAGGTAATGGTGGCACTAATTTAGGCTAACTAGTTCTCTAATACGTGCAACGCACGTATATTTCACGTTAAGTAATTTTTTTAAGAAAATAATATGAGTTATATGAATTTGAAAGGAAGATTATTTTTTGTCGGATTTAAACTTCCGAGTCATTTCTTTTTTGAATTTAACATAAATAATTAGTAAAATAGTATATATATATATCGAATGTAACATGACAAACTATTAAAACTAATATTTTTCATGCATTGCAACACCACATTAAACTAATAACTTCAAATTTTTTATTAAACCTCAAGTATATAATGTCATATATAACATTTTTTTCTACACTTATCAAAATTACTGTGCAAATCAATTGGAACAACATCCTATATATTTTTTTAAAATGTTATGTGATAAAACTTAATAGAGTACATGAAAAGTTTTCTAACGGATGAAATTTAAAAGAAATAACAAATTTAAATTAATGGAATAAATGCATATATAATTATATAGTAAAAGACAAAGTATACTAAGGGCTTGAGAGATTCATGAACTTCACATTAATGTTTCATAATTTCAGGAAGTTGAAACAAAATCAAAATATTGAATATAGGATAATTTTAGGAAGATGAAAAGCTAGCAATTCCAAAACATTGAATATAGGTTGTTGTAATTTGAGTGATAATTAAAATATTACTCCTATTTAATTAGCTTGCGTAACAATTTAAATACTACTACTAATTAGATTAGTTATTTTTATTTATTAAAATTTTTATTAATTAAAAGGCAAAAAAGTAATTCAACTTTGATAATCAAAATTCATTGAATCCCGAAATAAATATTAAACGAAAAAATAATATTTTAAATAATTTCAAGAAAATAAATTAAATTAGATATTTTAATTAAAAATTATTCTAAAGAAGTGGAAAAGTCATTAACATTTTGATTAAAATAATAAAATTTAATATTTAAATTAAATAGTTAAATATTTTAATTTATAATAAGGGTAAAATCGTAATTCAACTTTTAACTTTTTTGGTTCCCTCTTATAATAATATATGATTAATAAAACTAAGCACTTGTCATCCAGAGTGAGATCAAGGGTTATGTTTTAGCCAAACACAACTAACAAGGGAAAGTAGTCATGCTATCACACCAATTTGAATGAATAGGAAGGTCTCTACATATACTAAGTTCTTTCCCTGATAATATCTTCCTTTTACCTGATATACACATGTCAGACAGCACCTGCCTATCTTGTCTTGATGGCATACTGGTACTGGAAAATTATGTTCTGCTGCCAGCATAATATAGTTGCTTGCTCAAGGCAGGGAAAAAAAGGGCAAAGGCAGAGACTTAAAAGAATTGCAGTAAACCAGCAACAGTTCAGTTGGTACCAATGGTAACAAACTAGCACCAAATTCAGCTTTTTTCAACTCTTCTCCAACTTAAGCCATTACCTTCTCTTCCACGATACGAACCCATTTTTCCAGACTTTCCCAAGCTTATCAGTTAACACTAATCATGAATCTTCCCTAAAAAATTAACTTTTTGGGTTATGGGTTTAGATGGTTTCATTCCCAATTTCCAATCTCACCCACATAAGGACTATTAAACTGAATATATCTTGAGTTGCTAATGTCTCCATCTTTTTAATTCTCACAACATTTTTAACGATTTTTTGCAAGTTCAATAGTTTTCTTTTTCACACCCTAGCGTAGTTCTTCTTTTTCTCCAGGATAAAGGCTCTTGGGTATGACACTAGACTGATTTCAATTTGTAAATTATTTTTAGTGAAGCCTCTTAATTTCCAACTTGCACATACCACCCATTAGTCCATTAGGTAAGGTTTTGGTAGGCTAAATGGAAATGTTTCAGCAATTTAACTATGGTATTTTCTAATAACCAAGAAATCCCAAGTGCCCTTGGCGCACAGCTCGAAACTCATTGGATAATGGGCCCATCCCTCTAACCTTCTGCAGGATTCAAACCCGTAGTAGTTTAACTATGGTAATGGGGCTAAGTGTGAAATTTGAGGAGAATGGAAGTGGATAGATCTAATGAATAGATTGGACCTAAAAGGTTTTGTTCTGGTTAAAATTCATCTTAGCCGTAAGTTATATCTGACTCATCTTTACCCTCCATATATGAAAATGCTAGCCATTCGAAATCTACACAACAGTTGGCGAACCAATAGTAAACTATCTCATTTTCTCAGCCAATACAAAAAACAAAAGAACAAGTACTAATGCTAAATGTAACACAATACATAACTTCTAGATCCTCAACATTCTAAAAAGTTAAAAAACCAAAAGAAGGGGTAAACAGAAAAAAGGGGAAATGAAAAAGAAGAGAGATTCTTTGCAAGCCCAGTAGTTTTCCCTTTACACACCCCCAATATTGTTCTTCTTTTTTCACTTCAAAGCAGCCTCCTGACTGGAATGCTTTTGCAATTTAACTATGGTAATTGAGATTGGAGTTTTACTTAACTTTTTTCCGAGTCTTGCTAAACGCTTCATTCCAGTCAAAACTCATCTTAGCTTAATATTTAATAACTTCCAAGTCTCAAAAGTCTCGAGGTTGCTCAAACAGTAAACGCTCTCTCCACCTTCAACCTTAGGTTTGTGGGTTTGAGACACTAAGAGAGCAAAAAAGGTGGTAGCTCAAAAAGTCTAAAGCCTCATCTTAGCTGTTAGAATAACTTTCAGGTCTCAAAAGCCTCGGGGTTGCTCAGACGTTAAACATTTTCTGCATCTCCAACCTTAAGTTTGTGGGTTTGAGTCACCAATGGAAAAAAAAAAGGTGGGAGCTCAAAATGTTTCACTCCTCATCTCAGCTGTAAGAATAAGTTTCAAGTCTCAAGCCTCGGGGTCACTCAGACAATAAGCATTCTTTTCATCACCAACTTTAAGTTTATGTGTTCGAAGTACCAAGGGAGAGCAAAAAAGGTGTGAGCTCAAAACGTCTCAAGCCTCCATAGATGCAAATGCTAACCTTCCAAAATCTACACAATAGTTGGCAAACCAATAGTGCACTACCTCATTTTCTCAGCCAAACAAGAAACAAAACAAGCATCTAAATGCTAAACATTTGCACAATACATCAACATCATAAAAATCCTCAACATTCTTGAAAAGTTTAACAACAACAAAAAAAAAGAAACTTGATAAGAAGGGCAAATAAGAAAACAGAAAATACTAACTACTGGGTCCGCCAAGTTGAGTAACAGCATCAATGAATCGTTCATGAAGATCAGCAGTCCATCGAAGACGAGGTTTGGGATCTGAAGTTAACACAAGACAAGGGTCTCCATTAACCCTATTATGATGATGAATCCCGACATTAACATCACACCCATGAATAAATTCATCTTCTTGCGATTGAATCAATCTGGGAAACATTGAATCAACACCTTTTGCTTCTGTAGTCGAATTTTCAACAAGTTTTACTGTATCAATTAAGCAATTTTCATAGAATTGAATGCAGATTCAAAGGGTAAGTAGCAAAATTTTGGGGTTTTCGCCAACCCCAAAGTCAAGATTGAAATGATTCGGTACACAGTGATGCGATATGGAGTTTATTACCCGGCGGTTCTTCATCTTTAAATTGTGTAACCAAGAATTGATTTATTTATTTATTTTTACACCAAAGCCCCTTCACGTATTTCGATTAATTGATAAAATATTTGCATCTTCGTTATTAATGAGTTATCGAATAACTTTGATCATCGAATATAAGATATATGAGAATTCCTTAGTTATATATATATATATATATTATAAGAGAACTCTAGGCCCGTCTGCGTGGCGTCGCCACAAATAAGGATTCTCTTTTAAATTTATTTATTATCAAAATTAACTTTTTCCTTTTATGAAAAGTTTTGATCTTTAGAAAGAGTTACGATTTTTACGAAGAGTTGCGACTTTTATGAAAAATTGTGACTTTTATGTAAGGTTGTGACCTTTCTAATGGGTTGTAACTTTTCCAAAGAGTTGTGACCTACACTTTGTTTAATATAAGTAGAGGGATTCTTTGCCACTGTTATTTGTAGGGGGGTTTTCGTTATAGGATAAGAATTTAAATACATTAATTATGCTTCTTATGAAGCTTGTTTCATTCCTTACAGGTTTCTTCGTCCTATTTCATGGAGATTAATATTTACTGTAAATCATAGTTATTAATGTAATTATGACAATTTCTTTTTACTATTTTGGTGATCTTTTTTAACTCTGTTAAAAATTTCAGCTAGGTTGATTAAAATTTGATCTTCTCTTTCTTCCCTTCCTACATATTTCTTCTTATAAACATAGAAAAATGATTTTAATTGCAATGTTGCATTACTACTCTTGCACCTCTCAATCAACAACTCACAAAACTGCTGAAATGGTTCAATTCATTATATTTGGTTCTTGAATAACAAAAGTATTTTTTTTTCTGCCACTATTATTTGTAGGTTTTTTCCGCTCTGCGAGAGTTGAATATAAATACATTAATTAAGCTTCTTATGGAGTGTGTTTCATTCCTCAAAGTTTTCTTCCTCATATCTAATGAAGCTTAATCTTTTACTGTAAGTCATAGTAATTCATGTATCTATTGCAAAAAAAAATTTCTATTTTGGTGGTTTTTTTAACTCAGTTAAAAATTCCAGTGAAGATAATTGAAAATTTATCTTCCATTTTGTCTCTCTCTATAGTTTTATTACAATACTTTTTTGGGAAAATTTCTTGTGGGGTTGCGCCATATTTGATAGCACGGAACAAGAAATATGTGATAACTAATACACAATCAATGTTGAAGTTTGTTAAAAGAACCAAACAGATTGCTCTCTTCTTTGTCACAGTTAGTATATTATTTTGATTGTCCTTTCTTAGGTACAAACATTTTATATGTCATTTCATCCTTCCTAGAATATTAGTATAGAGACAATTAGTTCACTTTTTTTATCGCAAGTTAACTAATTTGTCATATTTCTTCGTTTCTTCTTTTAAGGCATAATAAGAGATCAAATTTTCTTGAAACAAATGAATGTCCAAAATACACTAACACAAAAATATTTATTTGTGGATATTTGTGAGTTCAAACACTCAAATATGCTTTGAGATTTAAATATGTTATGTATAAAAATTTTGGTTTAGAATATCCAGTTATGAATGATGTTGTTTACTGCTTTGTTAATAATTACATTATAACCATAACAATAACTATGGTTCAATTCCAAACAAGTTGGTTGGTGATATGAAATTATGATACTAACAATTTTAGGGTCATAAGAAAGGAACTCGAATTCCTCCATTTGAATTATTTAATTATGTTCTTGTATGGACGTGATGTTCCACTTTACTTGGGAGTGTTGTTGTTCGAGGCTTTTTAGTCTCTTCTTTAACGTCTGATGTTGTTCATTATAAGTTCTGGAATCTAGAAAATTTCATTACTTTTGACCAACTATTTCCATGGAGATTTCTTAGACTTCTTACAATTAAAATAACTCTATGACTCACAATTTTTGTATAAAACAATCACAAATAAAAAAAATATATAGCACTTTTAAGATTTTGGATTGACTTAAGATAAAATGATTTTGACAATGTAGTGTATACATTGAAAATCCGAATATTCCCGAATGATCAATGTGAACTTAATAACATAGTTCATTTCCGTGCGAAGCACAGATAGTTTACGTAGTAGTGTTTTAATCAAATATATATTAAGTAACCTTATCTATCAACATTTGAGTAGACGAAATTTTGTTATTAACTTGAACATGGTACACCTAAGTCATTCCACCCATATAAGTATCTTGTAACTAATTCTATCTATTAAGACTCGAAAAATCACATAATATGTTTTTGTTTTTGTTGTTGAACTTGAAAACTCGTGTTTCTCCATAGTCCATGCATGTTATTGACCATTAGGTTACTTGAGACAATGTATTTCTTCTAAGGTAACATTAAACTTCATTTTTCACTGACCACTAGATCACTATGTAAATGCTTAAATGGTGAGTAATATTATTCATATTGTTAGTCTCAAGCGAAATAAAGGTGAAAGGTTGCGATAAACTAACAATAAAGAATTAGTCTATTTATGATGAATCCTACAATGTTGTAAAATATTATAAGCACTTCATAACAGTTCAATCAATCATATTAGATTCTTTAATACAAAAATTGGGAACACAGATATACAAGAAACTATCTTCATGTATTTCACAAGATCACACACCTATAATGCAGAATCTAAAAAATGTTTGTTCAATTAATAGATCAGCCAGCATCATGGGATCAAGGACATGAGCATCATATCCGATAGCCATGTAAACGCTTAGCCCATCGTCTAGCCATGAATGGATCATGGTATTCCCAGCCCTCAACGCTACTACTTCTTCCACCAGTGTTCTCAACAATGTCAATAGTATCCGTCAGTTCTTTCCTGTCACCAACTCCGACTACAACTTCACCTGTTTTAACAGAATCATCCATCATGCAATCAATGTAGGTATATACCACGCGAACTTTGTCCATATCTTCCAAAAGCAATGGAATTCTCCTCTCCTCACCCCCTCGCAATTCTCCAAGCCTCACGATCCTTGTGTCCTCTCCAATCATCAATGCAATATCTCTAACTGCACCACATAGTATTTTAGCAAGAAATCTCTCAAACTCGTGCATGACGAATCCATTTGAAGTACCAAATCCAAATCCCACATGAAACTTATGGATTGTAATGGGAAGTTCCAAGTGAAACCCATGGAAAGATCTTGTTGGATTGTCAGAAAGATGTAGAATAAAAGAATGAGTATTTTGGTGGCTGCGTTCTCTTAGTATCTTTACTCCTTTCTTGAGTCCTTCTACTGGATCAGCTTGGCCCATATAAAACAGTCTGTCAATAACTTGAAGTGCTGTGCGCTTCCCGTAAGAGGTCATACACTTGAGAGGGAAGATGCGTGCTGCGGCAGAAGAGTAGGTAACAATAGCCAAACGGTCTATAGGCCGCAATGAAAATACCACAAATGCCATGGCTTGTTTCATAAGCCTCAGGTGAGGTCCGTTGGGGCTTGCCACTAAGACTAAGTCAGTGGCTGGCTGATGTGCCAATTTTAAGCAAAGATAAGCACTACTAGAGGAGCTGCAAACCAGAGGAGACTGCCCAGTTTCTACAAAATGCTGTGCTGCTGATTGTGAAGATTCTAAACAATGCTGAGGATAATGGCATGAACTAAAGCTAGACTTTGGATTTGAGCACGGATCAAACACAGAAGTACTGTGAGGAACAGGTGATAAAGATAGATGCAAACGGTGAATATTTGATGTACGGTCAGGCTCGACTGGATCATCATCATCATAGCGAGCAGAACGTAAAAAGGAACGTCTATGTACCCGAGAAGTAGCAATTGATTCATCAAGAATCTGGAGAATGGGATCAGCGCGATTGCTGTGAGGAGAATAATGCATCTTCAATGTCCGAGGTAGCTGGGTCCAATGTGCACGGCAAACAGGGCAAGTAACATTGCCATGGCGGATGTTGGATGATATGCAAGCGAAGTGAAAAGCATGAGAGCACTGTGCTGTGAATATAGCCTGTCCTGGGCTGCTGTCGCAGCTATAGCTCAATGAATCCAGACATATTGGACAAAAGTTCTGCCAGACAATAGAAAGAGAAGCATGAGTTTTCTAAATTGCAAATGGAAAACCAACGGAAAGGGACTAATATACATAATAACATTCTCATGCAGGACTTTGTAGGTTCTTTGTACATAAGCAACATTGGACATACAGATGCCAAAAAAGAACAGACCAGCTCTTAAACACACAAAAAAAAGAAAAAGGAAATTCCAGATATAATCTCTTAAAGAAAAAGACTTAAATGTGTTTTGTCCTGCAAGAAGAATCCTTTTTAGAATGTTTAATCAGATGGCACAGACTAACTACTCATTCATCAAACAAGGAAAAAACATAGCACAAGACACTCTTAAGAGTGCCCCTCCCCCCACCCCCACCCCACCCCCAGGTTTGCTTTCATATTTAATATTTTCTTTCCCAGTTGTCAAGAAGGGAGTAGTTGAGTTAAACATCTAGAAGTAAAATATCATACTGAACTGTACCAGAGACGCGACAGATTCCTTCTTGACGGATGTAATCAATGAAAAGTTGAGTTATTCAGTCTCTTATTTTCTATAGTTTAGCTCTTCTTTTTTTTGGCTTATTACTACGCTTAATAATATCTGCACTATGTTAATAAGAAACAATAGAGGCTTGCCAAAATTTTGACCTGGGAAAGGTAAATGGGAGTGTAAAGATTGGATCTGAAAATTCCGCGGGCAGAAAACTTTTACCTATCACAATGCAGCATAAGCATTCACAACTTTTGATTCTCTCAGGTTGGGAATTCATTGAGAACACTAAGCATTTATTCATTTATAAGGCTAAAACTAATCAAGGAAACAAGAATTTCAAGAAATCTAAGAGAATGCTAGCCAACTACAATCTTTACTTCCAAATTTATCTGGGATATGAAACGAAATGTTGAGCTCCCATATCGGTTCTTTAAAGATGAGATGGTTAATCCTCACCTCATGTTACAATCTTTACTTCATAGAAATTTAATCAGGGATATGATAATGCATTGTTGAGTTAGGTCCAAAGTCCAATTCTTTATCACAAAAGGACAGCAAGGCTAGCTTAAACCAGCTAATTTTACTGAAAC